TCCGTCTTGCCGAGGTTCAGCTTGAGGTGGTGATCCGACATCCACACTGATATGTCTGCCAGACATGTAGAGATGCGATTCGCCACCTGGTTATCAGAAGGGGGAAAGGAGAAAATTAATTGTGTGTCGTCTGCGTAGCAATGATAGGAGAGACCATGTGAGGATATGACAGAGCCAAGTGACTTGGTGTATAGAGAGAATAGGAGAGGGCCTAGAACTGAGCCCTGGGGGACACCAGTGGTGAGAGCACGTGGTGCGGAGACAGATTCTCGCCACGCCACCTGGTAGGAGCGACCTGTCAGGTAGGACGCAATCCAAGTGTGAGAAGCGCCGGAGATGCCCAACTCGGAGAGGGTGGAGAGGAGGATCTGATGGTTCACAGTATCAAAGGCAGCAGATAGGTCTAGAAGGTTAAGAGCAGAGGAGCGAGAGTTAGCTTTAGCAGTGCGGAGAGCCTCCGTGACACAGAGAAGAGCAGTCTCAGTTGAATGACCAGTCTTGAAACCTGACTGGTTTGGATCAAGAAGGTCATTCTGACACAACAAGAGCTAACTTTCAACAAATGCATTTACAATACTGCAGGAAATTATAATTGCATTAGCTTTATTACATAAAGGGCTTAAAATATATGTTAAAAAAACAAGTTGTGGTTTACAATCTGAGAAAAACCATCCCAGACAATCTCTGAGTATATTTCACTGTCACACATAAGGAAAATCTGTGATGTGAAGAGAAGCACTCTGTGTGTTGAAAACAAAAACAAAGGATTTGGTCTTAAATGGCAACTCCGCCACTTTTCAACCTCATATTAATTAATTATCTCCAGCACCAATCCAGTATCTACATATGTGAAAACTGTATTTTTGATGACATCGTCAAAGTAAAACAAAAAAATATGTAAACAGTGATTTTTCGAGGTGAAGTGGGGAGCAAGGTTTTCTTACTTTTAATCCTACAGTGAGGGAAAAAAGTATTTGATCCCCTGCTGATTTTGTACGTTTGCCCACTGACAAAGACATGATCAGTCTATAATTTTAATGGTAGGTTTATTTGAACAGTGAGAGACAGAATAACAACAAAAAAATCCTGAAAAACGCATGTCAAAAATGTTATGAATTGATTTGCATTTTAATGAGGTAAATAAGTATTTGACCCCTCTGCAAAACATGATTTAGTACTTGGTGGCAAAACCCTTGTTGGCAATCACAGAGGTCAGACCTTTTTTAGTTGTTGGCCACCAGGTTTGCACACATCTCAGGAGGGATTTTGTCCCACTCCTCTTTGCAGATCTTCTCCAAGTCATTAAGGTTTCGAGGCTGACGTTTGGCAACTCAAACCTTCAGCTCCCTCCACAGATTTTCTATGGAATTAAGGTCTGGAGACTGGCTAGGCCACTCCAGGACCTTAATGTGCTTCTTCTTGAGCCACTCCTTTGTTGTCTTGGCCGTGTGTTTTGGGTAATTGTCATGCTGGAATACCCATCCACGACCCATTTTCAATGACCATGGCCCCGTCCATCGTCCCTTTGATGCGGTGAAGTTGTCCTGTCCCCTTAGCAGAAAAACACCCCCAAAGCATAATGTTTCCACCTCCATGTTTGACGGTGGGGATGGTGTTCTTGGGGTCATAGGCAGCATTCCTCCTCCTCCAAACACGGCGAGTTGAGTTGATGCCAAAGAGCTCCATTTTGGTCTCATCTGACCACAACACTTTCACCCAATTCTCCTCTGAATCATTCAGATGTTCATTGGCAAACTTCAGACGGACCTGTATATGTGCTTTCTTGAGCAGGCAGACCTTGTGGGCGCTGCAGGATTTCAGTCCTTCACGGCGTAGTGTGTTACCAATTGTTTTCTTGGTGACTATGGTCCCAGCTGCCTTGAGATCATTGACAAGATCCTGCCGTGTAGTTCTGGGCTGATTCCTCACTGTTCTCATGATCATTGCAACTCCACGAGGTGAGATCTTGCATGGAGCCCCAGGCCGAGGGAGATTGACAGTGCTTTTGTGTTTCTTCCATTTGCGAATAATCGCACCAACTGTTGTCACCTTCTCACCAAGCTGCTTGGCGATGGTCTTGTAGCCCATTCCAGCCTTGTGTAGGTCTACAATCTTGTCCCTGACATCCTTGGAGAGCTCTTTGGTCTTGGCCATGGTGGAGAGTTTGGAATCTGATTGATTAATTGCTTCTGTGGACAGGTGTCTTTTATACAGGTAACAAGATGAGATTAGGAGCACTCCCTTTAAGAGTGTGCTCCTAATCTCAGCTCGTTACCTGTATAAAAGACACCTGGGAGCCAGAAATCTTTCTGATTGAGAGGGGGTCAAATACTTATTTCCCTCATTAAAATGCAAATCAATTTATTACATTTTTGACATGCGTTTTTCAGGATTCTTTTGTTGTTATTCTGTCTCTCACTGTTCAAATAAACCTACCATTAAAATTATAGACTGATCATTTCTTTGTCAGTGGGCAAACGTACAATATCAGCAGGGGATCAAAAAAAAAAATCCTCACTGTACCCTGTGATGTCAGAGAGAAGCATTTTTTTTTTACCTTTCATTTTAACCACAGATCATAGAAACATGCACTACCAGTCAAAAGTTTGGACACACCTACTCATTCAAGGGTTTCTCTTTATTTTTACAATTTTTTTACATTGTAGAATAATAGTGAAGACATCCAAACTATGAAATAACACATATGGAATCATGTAGTAACCAAAAAAGTGTTAAAAAACAAATCAGAATATATTTTATATTTGAGATTCTTCAAATAGGTACCCTTTGTCTTGATGACAGCTTTGCACACTCTTGGCATTCTCTCAATCAGTTTCATGAGGTAGTCACCTAGAATGCATTTCAATTAACAGGTGTGCCTTGTTAAACGTTAATTTGTGGAACTTCTTTCCTTCTTAATGCGTTTGAGCCAATCAGTTGTGTTGTGACAAGGTAGGGGAGTATACAGAAGATAGCCCTATTTGGTAAAAGACCAAGTCCATATTATGGCAAGAACAGCTCAAATAAGCAAAGAGAAATGACAGTCTATCATTACTTTAAGACATGAAGGTCAGTCAATATGGAAAATGTTAAGAACTTTTAAAGTTTCTTCAAGTGCAGTCGCAAAAACCATCAAATGCTATGATGAAACTGGCTCTCATGAGGACTGCCACAGGAATGGAAGACCCAGAGTTACCTCTGCTGCAGAGGATAAGTTCATTAGTTACCAGCATCAGAAATTGCAGCCCAAATAAATGCTTCACAGAGTTCAAGTCACAGACACATCTCAACATCAACTGTTCAGAGGGGTCTGTGTGAATCAGGCCTTCATGGTCGAATTGTTGCAAAGAAACCTCTACTAAAGGACACCAATAAGAAGAAGAGACCTGCTTGGGCCAAGAAACACGAGCAATGGACATTAGACTGGTGGAAATTTGTCCTTTGGTCTGGAGTCCAAATGTGAGATTTTTGGTTCCAACCGCTGTGTCCTTGTGAGACGCGGTGTGGGTGAACGGATGATCTCTGCATGTGTAGTTCCCACCGTAAAGCATGGAGGAGGTGTTATGGTGTGGGGGTGCTTTGCTGGTGACACTGTCTGTGATTCATTTAGAATTCAAGGCACACTTAACCAGCATGGCTACCACAGCATTCTACAGCGATACGCCATCCCATCTGGTTTGGGCTTAGTGGGACTATAATTTGTTTTTCAACAGGACAATGACCCAACACACCTCCAGGCTGTGTAAGGGCTATTTGACCAAGGAGAGTGATGGAGTGCTGCATCAGATGACCTGGCCTCCACAATCACCCGACCTCAACCCAATTGAGATGGTTTGGAATGAGTTGGGCCACATAGTGAAAGAAAAGCAGCCAACAAGTGCTCAGCATATGTGGGAACTCCTTCAAGACTTTTGGAAAAGCATTCCAGGTGAAGCTGGTTGAGAGAATGCCAAGTGTGCAAAGCTGTCATCAAGGCAAAGGGTGGCTACTTTGAAGAATTTCAAATATAAAATATATTTTGATTTGTTTAACACTTTTTTGGTTACTACATGATTCCATATGTGTTATTTCATAGTTTTGACATCTTCACTATTTTTCTACAATGTGTAAAATAGTAAAAATAAAGAAAAACCCTTGAATGAGTAGGTGTGTCCAAACTTCTGACTGGTACTGTATGTAGACAATGGTTTGGTGCCGGAGATAATGAATATGATGTTGAAAAGTGGCAGAGTTGCCCTTTAAGACTCCAGACGGGCCAACTTATTGTTAAGAGTTCAACAACTTGGTGATATAAAACCCCTTAGCACCAATGCTAGAGGAAAAAGATGGTGTAGAAACATTACACTGCATTGTCCTGATTTCCAACGCAATTCAAATTAAACCTCTTATCTCACACAAGTTCAGAATTAAGATCCAAAAATGTGAAAGGTCCAGAGATAGGTTATGTTTTGTAAAATTGGTTTTCAGACTATGAAAAGGAAAGAGAAAGTGTGTTGAAAATCAGCAGACAACCATTAACACTCAGCATGCTGTTTACTAAAGTAGGTTTACGTTTAATTTGACCATAGACTACAGTCACGGCACCAACGAGCACAGTCAGGCACACACACAGTGACAGCATCCTGTCATAACACAGCTGGTGGCTGAGAGGGGCCATCTGCTCTCCACAGCATCACATCATATACACGCAACACTTTAAAACCAATATGATCATGCTAAGCGAGGAATGATTATCAGATCCTTGCTGCTCCGTAGCATGGCTCAGTAGGCCTACTCCCATGTGCTTTCTTGTCATGTTAACTTCCTAACGTTGATGGTATGGTTGAGCTTTGCTGATTCCGTTCAACCCTCAAGCTCACATACTTTAATGAGGAATAAAATAGAACACCATATTTGGTTCTCTTCTTTACATGTATGACTAGTTTGTTATTGTACCATGTTCAATGTTTATCATTCAACTGGCTCAACTAAAACTGCACTTTTTTCTCTCTCAACTGGATAGGACATAACCGAAAAGCATGTGCATGACAACATTTAACATTTTTACATTTTAGTCATTTAGCAGACGCTCTTATCCAGAGTGAGTGCATACATTTTCATACAACCACTTCTCTACATTCATCATGTGATAATATCACAATTTAATACAATTATGAAACCATTCATATCTTTGTAACACTTTAAACTAAACTCTGCTTCAAACTGTCTCAAAGAAAGTGGTATCTTAGTCAGTGGGTCAAGGAAGAAGTTAGCATTCACTGTTAGATGTGTAGTACATCTTTACAAATAAATACAGCAACCAGAACCACTTCAGTCCATCTCCAAGTCCTTGAAGCCATTGAGAGGTGTGCAATCTTCCAACGCTAAGCATCTCTGTCTCTAGATACAACTACTGTGTTACCCAGTCCCACCAAGTCTTTGGGCACAAATGTCATACCCCACATCATACTGGACAGATAACTGTAGGTGAACAGTTCACAGGGAGTAAGCCAGTGTCACAGAGTGGGGTCAGGTCAGAGGTTAGACTTAGGTCCACTGTTGACTGGGATGGCCCTGAGCTCAGTCCGCATGCACAGGTACTCTCCAATCACGGCCATCAGAGCCATGCAGGCCACGTTGACCAGCCACCAGGACAAGGCCGCCGGGAGGTGGGCGTTGTAGATCCAACAGCCTATCATGTGGAAGAAGTGCACAGTGATGGTGAAGTCCAGACACTGCTTCCCTCGACGGATGAAGAACCACAGGCCCATGGCACTAACGAAACAGGGAGACAGATGCACGATGAAGGACAACATGCCTCAAAACAGGTTGGTCTTTCAATTAAAGTATGTGTGTAAATGTAAAAAAGTATTTAATTCATAGCTCAGTTTGGTAAAATTACCAATACTTCAGGATTTTGACAATGAGGCCCCAGTCAGATTAACTTGTGGATACCATTTGTATGTCTCTGTGTCCAGTGTGAAGGAAGTTAGAGGTAGTTTTGCGAGCCAATGCTATCTAGTGTTAGTGCAATGACTGGAAGTCTATGGTATGTAGTAGCATGCTTCCAGTCATTGTGCTAACACTAGTTAACAATTGCTCTAGCGCTAGTTAGCAAACTTCCTTCAAACTGCATGCAGAGACATAAAAATGGTATCCACAAGTTCATCTGACTCTGGGGAAGTAGATAAAGTATCCCTTTAAGATTTTAGTCCATTATAGAGCATAATGGATTATTGACCTCATAACAAGCCAGCCTTTCATCAATGGTATATGACTGGACTTCTTCATACCAGTGTTGAGTGAACATGTAGCACTCAGATTTAGGCTAGGGACTCAAATCAAAAACGCATATTTTGACAAATGGGTAAAATAATGTGTTAATTGTGTAGATACTCCAAATGGTCCAAACCTCATGTCTCTATCATAATCTGTTAAAAAAGTTATTGGAATTTTTACCCTTGTAGGATGGCCAGGATTAAGGTGACTAAATCAATTGAGACGACAAATAAATGGTCCAAAATCTGGAAAATAGCATTGCGTCAGCTAGGCTGGACGCTGTGCGAGAATTAAGGCTAAACTGACAGGCTCACAGTTGAATTCATATTTCTTGTCAAATCCGGAGGAGGTAAAACAATACAGAGGTAAGAGATATCTATTTTGACACATGACATTTAGTATTTTCATATTTTAGTAGACGCTTTTCATATTAATGCGAAATTCCTGTTCTTTTTCGAAGATTTCTCACAAAATCGAAGCACCGCAAGTTTTTTTTAAATTTCAAAGCCTTTTACATTTAATTCAGTTCGGGTCATACTAATTTAGCTTTTTGCGACCAGCGGAAACAACTTTACAGACGATCACAACAACATGTAAAATCCTCAAAAGTCCCTGCGAGAAAGCGCACCGCTCTGTCAACTGAGCTCGGTGCTTATTATCGGATGTATTAGGTTACGAAATCTGACTTTTTGGGTACAATGTTAATGATATGTTAGAGAAGGACTCCACTGAACAATTCAGAACATGAATAATCATAAAATTTATTTTACAACTTAAGGAATTGAAATGTCATCACCAAATCGCGCTTTCACCCAGAGTGGGTGGACAACACGGCCTCTGCAGAAGTCAGGGCATTCATACTTCTTGCACTTCGAGGAGAAGAGCTGTTGTCAAGGAAGGAAGTTTGTGTTTATACACGACATACCGCCCCCACCTACCATCAACCAATCATGTCAATGTGGAGCTATACGGAGACCTTCGCATTGTTACAACATTTGGGAGGTGCACGGCATCGCCATACAGAGCTTGATTTGGCCTCCGCAGTCCCACGGAGGCTCCCAATTGCGTCACACGTACGGAGACTCCGTACTTCATTTCCAAATCAAGCATAAATCGGCTTTTAGGCCCATTCACTTACCTGGTAAGCGAGTTCAAGATGAATGCCATCATTGAGAGTCTGCCCTGCATTGTTGCAAAACCAAGAACCTGCAAGCATAGAGCCATGTTGTGAATCAGTCCATTGTCAACTCAACAGACAATAAATAGGAAACCAGTTAGGACACATTCCAGGAGGACTCACCTCATAACTGAAGATCTGGTCCAGCGATCTGTTGGTTTGTACGAGACTGTCCACTCCAGCCAGCCACAGACCCAGAAAGCTGTAGTAAATGCATTGCATCAACACAATCTGGGACAAGATGAGGACCGGGTCCCAGATGTAGCTGCGGAAATGACTGCCCATTCCAAAGCTTAAGGTGGGGACACAGGGAACCCCGAGCAGCTGAAAATGAGTGCAAGGCTACTCCTCTGATGTATAGGGGGTGTCAGTGATTCAAGACCTGAAATGAAATGGCAGACATTTCACAGATCCATTTTAGTGGAGCTAGTTAGTACATGATGACCTAGCTATAAGCTGTTATAAGCGTTATTCTAGTTAGCTAGCTAGGCTAACAACCTTGCTAGGCCTACTTGCCAACGAACTAACTAACTATGTGACATAACAAACTCGTGTTTTACATGACCTCTTATTTTAAAAAATATAGCTACCTGACAACTTTGATAGCTGACCTACATTGGCTGACTGGCTTGCTAGCAGTACGTGAACAACTGGTTGATAGCTTCCTAGCTAGCTTTCCGGAAGATACCGACCCTACCATTTCGCTTGTTTACTCTGACTGAGCTGCACTGAGGTCGGAACGCAATCGTGGTTACATTAAGACACCTTTGGAGCTGGCGAGAGATACGAGTCGGAAAACGTACCTCAATGCAGGGATGGCATATGCCATGTACTCCAAGTGTTACCTTTATCCACCGAGAAGATTGAAATACTGCTCGTTTTTTTCAGAAAACTGCCCTTTTCGTCCTCATGCTAGCTACCAGTAGCCATTATGGAATGGCATGTTGCATTGAACAAAGGAGCACTAGTTAGTAGTATTTCCATCTTCTCCATGGAGCAGTGTGGATAAAGGTCAAATTTGGAGTACAGTGGCATATCATATCCTTGCATTGAGGTACGTTTTTACCGACCCCATATCTTGCGCTGGCTTCATGGTATCTTAATGTAACCATGGCGGTTTTCCGAGCTCAGTGTAAACAAGCTTAACCGTAGGGTCGGTATCTTCTGCCTGTCAACCTAGCTAGCTAACGTCGCTAGCAACATACCTAACATAACTAGCTGGCTTGTTAGCAGTAGGTATTATTGAGTTCACAAAGCGTCGCCTACTTTTACTGATATTCAATATCTGGTCGGAGTGTTAGGTAGTGAGATATCCAAAAGTACAACAGACATTAAATCCCACCATAAAGCTACGAGATAACGTGGAGCTGATCACGAATACCAGAAAAGAGAAAACGGCAACAAAATCGACCCGGAAGTGATTTCCCTCTATAAACTATTCATTTCACAATAAAAGTATGTTGTATCTGGAATGGGAAGGGAAATCCGGCTATTTGAAAAATGATTGAATAAAAATGTTGAATACAACCGTTTTTTTTCACTGCTTTTGGCTGCCGAGGTTACTACTTCTGGTGTTAAGATTTTGTTTTAAGGCCTTTACAAGTTGCAGTAGTGTATTTCATTCTTCTGTGACTTTTATTTTGACACAAATTCCTAGATATCACATTTCTTTCCTCCTTTTCTCCCACTTTACTGGATGCGCCCTGTAAACATAATACATATTTGTATAACCATTGCAGAATAAATTCCTCACCTTTTCTGGCCATTATGGGTTCATATGAAAAATGTATGCACTCACTAACTGTAAGTCGCTCTGGATAAGAGCGTCTGCTAAATGACTAAAATGTAATATTCCCGAAGTATCCTACAACAAATACCATGTGCATCGCTCATTTAATTGGGCCTATTAGATAGAGCAAAATACTTCAAATAATAGCCTATGAATAAAAAGATAGAGAACGTGTTTTATAACATACAGTATAATTAAACAGGTAAACTGACAGTTCCATCTTTTGCATTGAAGTGTGTATGGCTACCACTGTAAGTAGACAATGTTTCAGAATTCGCAGGCAGTGCAGCATATAGGTTCAAGAAAAAATCAATGCAAAACATTAGGCACTAACAAATAATCAAACGATCTGTTTACAGGTCCTCAGCAATTCGAAATTGTTTTTGTCTTTCTGAATCTTTTTGTTTGTCAGATAGCCGAGGCCTACAGCAAATGTCGCTGCAAAAGTTTAACATTCTGCCATCAAACCGCCAAAGACATTTGATCAAGTTCGCCATTGCTATTTCCTTTAGAAACTGCCTCAGCCTAATTCCAATACTTCCAAAGTATACAACAAATAGGGGCTTTATTGTCACCATAAAAGGTGAATGATGGGCATTTTTCAGGTGGAGGTATTGAGGAGTATACCTCAGTCACCGGCTTCATCAATAAGTGCATCGACGACGTCATCACCACAGTGACCGTATGTACATATCCCAACCAGAAGCCATGGATTACAGGCAACATCCACACCAAGCTAAAGGCTAGAGCTGCTGCTTTCAAGGAGTGGGACACTAATCCGGACGCATAAGAAATCCCGCTATGCCCTCAGACGAACCATCAAACAGGCAAAGCGTCAATACAGGACTCAGATTGAATCCTACTACACCGGCTCTGACGTTCGTCGGATGTGGCAGGGCTTGCAAACTATTATGGACTACAAAGGGAAACCCAGCCGCGAGCTGCCCAGTGATGCGAGCCTACCAGATGGGCTAAATGCCTTTATGCTCGCTTCGAGGCAAGCAACACTGAAGCATGCATGAGAGCACCAGCTGTTCCGGACAACTCTGTGATCACGCTCTCTGTAGCCGATGTGAGCAAGACCTTTAAACAGGTCAACATTCACAAGGCCGCGGGGCCAGACGGATTACCAGGACGTGCACTGACATTTTCAACCTCTCCTTGACCGAGTCTGTAATTCCTACATGTTTCAAGCAGACCACCATAGTCCCTGTGCCCAAGAAAGCGAAGGTAACCTGCCTAAAGACTACCGCCCCATAGCACTCATGTCGGTAGCCATGAAGTGCTTTGAAAGGCTGGTCATGGCTCACATCAACACCATCATCCCGGAAACCCTAGACCAATTCTAATTCGCATACCGTCCCAACAGATCCACAGATGATGCAATCTCAATCGTACTCCACACTGCCCTTTCCTATCTGGACAAAAGGAACACCTACAGTGAGGGAAAAAAGTATTTGATCCCCTGCTGATTTTGTACGTTTGCCTACTGACAAAGAAATGATCAGTCTATAATTTTAATGGTAGGTTTATTTGAACAGTGAGAGACAGAATAACAACAAAAAAATCCAGAAAAACGCATGTCAAAAATGTTATGAATTGATTTGCATTTTAATGAGGGAATTAAGTATTTGACCCCTCTGCAAAACATGATTTAGTACTTGGTGGCAAAACCCTTGTTGGCAATCACAGAGGTCAGACGTTTCTTGTAGTTGGCCACCAGGTTTGCACACATCTCAGGAGGGATTTTGTCCCACTCCTCTGCTGATGTTTGGCAACTCAAACCTTCAGCTCCCTCCACAGATTGTCTATGGGATTAAGGTCTGGAGACTGGTAAGGCCACTCCAGGTCCTTAAAGTGCTTCTTCTTGAGCCACTCCTTTGTTGCCTTGGCCGTGTGTTTTGGGTCATTGTCATGCTGGAATACCCATCCACGACCCATTTGCAATGCCCTGGCTGAGGGAAGGAGGTTCTCACCCAAGATTTGATGGTACATGGCCCCGTCCATCATGCCTTTGATGCGGTGAAGTTGTCCTCTCCCCTTAGCAGAAAAACACCCCCAAAGCATAATGTTTCCACCTCCATGTTTGACGGTGGGGATGGTGTTCTTGGGGTCATAGGCAGCATTCCTCCTCCTCCAAACACAGCGTGTTGAGTTGATGCCAAAGAGCTCCATTTTGGTCTCATCTGACCACAACACTTTCACCCAGATTTCCTCTGAATCATTCAGATGTTCACTGGCAAACTTCAGACGGCCCTGTATATATGCTTTCTTGAGCAGGGGGACGTTGCGGGCGCTGCAGGAATTCAGTCCTTCATGGCGTGGTGTGTTACCAATTGTTTTCTTGGTGACTATGGTCCCAGCTGCCTTGAGATCATTGACAAGATCCTCCTGTGTAGTTCTGGGCTAATTCCTCACTGTTCTCATGATCATTGCAACTCCATGAGGTGAGATCTTGCATGGAGCCCCAGGCCGAGGGAGATTGACAGTTCTTTTGTGTTTCTTCCATTTGCGAATAATCGCACCAACTGTTGTCACCTTCTCACCAAGCTGCTTGGCGATGGTCTTGTAGCCCATTCCAGCCTAGAGTGTGCTCCTAATCTCAGCTCGTTACCTGTATAAAAGACATCTGGGAGCCAGAAATCTTTCTGATTGAGAGGGGGTCAAATACTTATTTCCCTCATTAAAATGCAAATCAATTTATAACATTTTTGACATGCGTTTTTCTGGATTTTTTTGTTGTTATTCTGTCTCTCACTGTTCAAATAAACCTACCATTAAAATTATAGACTGATCATTTCTTTGTCAGTGGGCAAACGTACAAAATCAGCAGGGGATCAAATACTTTTTTTCCCTCACTGTACATACATACATACATACATACATACATACATACATACATACATAACATATACAGATAAATAAATACAGAAAAAAAAGAAACAGAAGGCATTTGAACCCAGTCTGGCACAAAGAGAAGAATAATATGAGAGACTAAACACAATCTATATACACACGTGCCATTTACCACATAGAAGCTAAATATTTTTACAATTTAATTATAGGTAGCCCTTTTTCTTTTATTCCAGGCTTTATATAAATATTCCGCAAACGGAAATACACAATGGACAAAAAAACATTTTAGTTTCTCCTCATCGCTCAGCCACATAATGCCAGGGTATATCTGGTGTGCGGTCTGGAATAAGAGCAAGCGTATATCGTGGTAGAAAGGGCAATAGAGGATAAAATCAGTTTCATTCTCTATTTCTTCGAGGTCACAATAGTTACATAGTCTTTCCTCTTCCATTTCACCACAATACCGACCTGTTTCAATACGCAGAGGCAATATCCCTGATCTTACCTGTGCACATAGCGATCACTTGCTTTTAGGTAAGTTATACATAATATATATCTCACACACAAATTCACCCTTAATCAAACAAAAGGTTCTCAATTTAGGTTTATGATTAATCTCCTCCACCCATTTTTTCATATTGCATCAACAGTTGTATTTTAATCATATCTATGTCTCCCTTAATTTGGTTTTCATACAGATGTTCACAGTCAGACAGTTGAAAAAGGTCAGACATTTCAGTTGCCCAGGCTCCCCTATGGATAGATCCCATTGAAAAACCTGAGTGCAAAATCCCTTGTTTGATCCCATGTTGTTTCAGTGTGCTTCTTAGGCCAAGTGAGATGGAAGACCTGTAGACCAGCTCCCTTTTCGACTGCCAAGCCCAACCGCGCCCTCATAGATGAGCCGATTACCCTAGAGGGACGTCACCTCCCCCTCACTCACCTATTACGGTGTGTGCCTGCATGCATAACGAGGACGGTGACCTGTGGGAAAAGCTCTCTCACTACAACACAGATGGGAGGGGTGTCGTCAACTGTGAGTCACATGACTGAGCTACAGTATGCAGGGGCTGGGAATCTGACAGCAAAGTGTTTTTATTTGAAGTATTATCCTCTCCTCTCAGACTATCTCACCCTCTCTTCATCCTCCCTCCCCTAACCCTCTTCTCCTCACAGTGACCAGGGATGAGTCTGTAGGGGGTTCCTATGTGGGCTGTGAGCCCATGGGACTATTCTGGGCCCTGCAGCCTGCACCTGGAGAGAGAGAGAGGGTCTGAGGTGGGAATAGGGAAAATAACTAACAAATCGTGCAAAGCCATGGTCACATTGAATATGATTCAGAGACAAATGCTTTTGATCAACAAAGTCAATCAACATAAAATATATTTTTTAAAGGGATAGTTAATAGAAATAATAAAGTTACATATATATTGGTCCAGGAGTGGTTGGATACACTCTTTGTTTGTATGCAAAGCCCATGATAGTGACAGTTTCATCTGTGTATTTTCCCACAGGCTGTGGAAGAAAAACTTTGAGACTCCATACTCTGCACAGTTGTCCTTATTAGAGGGTCACATTCCGGTTCCATCCAGTCAGGGTTCCAACAAGGAGCAGTGACAGAGAGGGGAACAGGAGCTGGCTGCAGTGACTGTGGAACATTGGTACATGGCACCAGGCGTCCAGAGAATAGAGATTCAGCAGAACAGAGTAGTGGGGACCTTGTTCTTACCCCCAGGTGTTTTTGTTAAATTGTACATATCAAATCATATTTAGAATCTTAGATTATAGCAGAATATATTTTACAGAGTGTCTTTACACAAATTATTATGACTGAGACTTTATTCCAATACTCAGGGTATTTGGTGTCCTCTGTTGTTGCCTCCATAGGTCCAGGTCCATTCCCAGCCACAGAATTTGGGCATATAAGAAAGTAGAGACTAAAGGCTATAATCAAATATGAAAGGCCTATTAGTATGATGAGTAATATGAGTGTCCTTGTAGGACTGCATCTGGTTTGAAATACCTGGTATTCCCATTCACTCATTTTCTCTTTCTCAGCCCAGGTGTGTGATCTGAGTCAATGATCCAATGGGAAGTTTCAACAAACTCTCTGACAGCGAAGGCATGACAGAAAGCTTTGAAGGGTTAGTTACCATGGAAACATATAACAGAAATAAGGTTTGAGAATGAGAGTATGCCTGAAAAGATGACTTGCCTGAAAAGATGACTTGACAGGAACTAAATTAGATAATTCTCGATCTATTGTGTTATTGGTTAAAGAGGGATGCTGCTTTTTTTCTTATCCCACCCACTGTTATACTATGTTATAGGGATCAGAAGCACTGGAGTTACGATTAACAGGGCTACGCCAGTTTCAGAGAAGTGTCCACGTCCAACAACATCCCACCTGAGAACAAAGCAAAGGTACGACCCTGAGTGACCCTCTCAAATATTGATAGGGTCAAGAACCCCCTCCAGCCGGCTGCACAGAATTTAAAAAATAATAATTTTCGAGCAGAATATATTTTATTTAGAGTATCGGTGTGAGGAGTACCTGTGCAGCTTTAGTGTTTTTTTTTTGTGCCAATTAATGTAGAATTTTATTCTGAGGGTTACTGGTACATTAGCCTCTCAAGAACCAGGCTTCCCTAACAGGAAAGGAGGCGTGACAACAACTTGATTAGGAGGTATTGCTACGGGAGACTAGCTGTACATCTACAAAGATATTCTCTGTCTGTGCAGGTTGAAAACCTGTGCTGCCCCCTACTGTACATTGTGGGTGAAGATGACTTGAGCTGTGCCGCTATTGAGAAGGCAGATGAGGTAGGCCTACTTCATGGGATTTCCTTACCATTAAACAGACAATATGGCATACTATGGTAGTATATATAGTTGTGGCCAAATATATTGGCACCCTTGCACTTTTCTTAAATAAGACACTATTTCTTCTAAAATAACTTCTAAAAAAGTTTTGGTCAGCACACATTGTTATTGGATTTGGACATTGCAGAACCACTTTTATTTTTGTAAACACCCCGGAGCTGGTACTTGGTTGCACAGCATTTGGCCAAGATAACTGCAGACAAACGCTTCTTGTAGCCATCATTGAGCTTGCTGCACCTTTCTACTGGCAATTTGGCCCACTTTTTAGCAGCAAACTGCTCTAATTCTTCAATATTTGTGGGGTGCCCTCCTCCAACTGCTGTTTTCTGGACTCTTCGCTGGCCGCTGCAGAACAATCCAGCATCTCTTCTTAACCATTCCTGGGTGGTTTTTGATGTGTGTTTGGGTCGTTCAAGGCCTCCAGTACCAGAGGCAGCAAATCAAACCCACAGCATTATAAAACCTTCCCCATATTTGATTGTAGGGAGGGTGTTCTTCTCATTGAATGCTTCATTTGGTCATCAGTAAACACAGCGCTGATCTGTATTGCCAAAGCGCTCTAATTTTGTTTCATTGGTCCACAGAACATTTCCCCCAGAATGTAGGTTTATTTAGGTCGATTTTTGAGAAGTGTCTCTTTCAGCATTGGGGTATTCTTATGTTTACCAACGACCAAATAAAGCATTCAAAGAAAATAACCCTCCCTACAATCAATTATGGGGGAGGTTCGATAATGCTGTGGGGTTGCTTTGCTGCCTTTGGTACTGAGGGCCTTGAATGTGTGCAAGACATAAAATCAGCAGATTATCAAGGTGTTTTGGAGTGCAATGTTTGACCCAGTGTCCAAAAACTGTGTCTCTGTTGAAGGCTGTGGGTCTTCCAGCAGGACAACAACCCCAAACACACATAAAAAGCATCCTGGAATGCAATGACAGACAGTGACACATGGACAGACAGTGACACATTCAATACCGCCTTGAACACTCTTGCCTGCATCTAGCTTATCTAGGGTGTAATCCTTAGTCCAACAGTTGCAAACGAGAGTTTCTGTTGGACAAATTCAGGTATTTGTATCCCTGTTTCATTTGCTTCCGTTTAAGAAACGTTTTTCAACAGAATCGGTAGAATGAATACACCCCTGATCATAGCAGCCATGTTGTATTCATTCTAGCCTCTATGCACTCTCCTCCTCTCATCTTTTGCAGTTATCTTGGCCAAAGGCTGTGCAACCAAGCACTAGCTCCAGGGTGCTAATAATTTTCTCCATGCCATTTGTCTTTATTTTCTTTACAAAAATAAATGTGGTTCTGCAATGTTGAAAATCCAATAACAAGGTGTGAAGACCAAACGTTTTTTTTCAATTTAAACTTATTTGAGAAGAAATTGGGAATTACAAGGGTGCCAATATATTTGGCCGCAAATGTGTCCTAGTCATAGCTGAGTAATAACTTTTCCAATGTCGAAGTCAAAAGTCGTGACCAGTTGAATGAACAGATATTTGCTTGGTTTTCAGATTGAGAAGAAGCTTAAAGATGTTGGTAGATCCCACCTGTTCACCCGCCTGTCATATCCAGGTGCTGGTCACCTGATTGAGCCACCCTACACCCCCAACGCACATGCCTCCATGTGGACCAAACAACCACAGAAACGTGGGTCCTCCTTTCCTCCCATACACATCTTCACCTCTCTTTCATATTTAGTTTGTCATGCAGTTATGACCTTGTTTTCAGTGGTACCTTTTTATAAATAGTCATGATTGTATCCTAAAATGATAATCATACTTTGAAAGATTTGTCTTGAAGTAAATGTATTAGTCCTTTATTCTTCATTTATATATCCACTTACAAGCACTAACATATGCATTCAAATTTAAAGGGTTTCCAAAAAAGGGTATTTGACAAAATGGTAACAGACATTATAATTAACATGCAGTATCTCAGAAATGAGGGAACTACATTGCGATTAGTATTTTCAGGTTATTTCCCATGCTGTCCTGTTGTTTTTCCATATAGTGATCACTCTCTGGGGAGGGCACCTGGTACCGCATGCTGCCACCCAAGAGGACGCCTGGAAGAGGACCCTGGAATTTATGGAACGTCATCTAAGGGGAAAGGAATACAAATAGCCTTATGACCACTTTGGGATAGAACGGTACATCTCACATGGGTCACTCCACAATGCAAGACTCAAAGCTCACCCAACTGTCCAAATTCAAGTGGACTCAATGTTTTCTTTCACTATTTTCAGGATACAGATTAATGTAAGTATTTATGTATTGTTGTCATTGATTTGTTAGATTTTATATACACAACTATTATACAATAATAAAATCAATATAATGTAAACAAAGTAGTTTTATCATCATGATCTTTATGTGAGAGGGTTACACAGTATGTATGCATGTTTTGCTGGTCACACACAGACACACGGTCACTCGCTCAAGTCTTCCCCTTTATCCTCCCGAGTGGCGCAGTGGTCTAAGGTGTGCCACTAGAGATCCTAGTTTGATTCCAGGCTCTGTCGTAGCCGGCCGCGACCGGGAGACCCATGGGGCGGCACACAATTGGCCCAGCGTCATCCAGGGTAGGGGAGGGAATGGCCGGCAGGGATGTAGCTCAGTTGGTAGAGCATGGCGTTTGCAACGCCAGGGTTGTGGGTTTGATTCCCACGGGGGGCCAGTATGAAAAATAAAAAAATAATGTATGTACTCACTAACTGTAAGTCGCTCTGGATAAGAGCGTCTGCTAAATGACTAAAATGTAATGTAAAATGTTTACATTGTGTCACTAATGGTGGTGAAATGTGCTGAAGAGATCATGGCACGTTGACGTCACCATGGCGATCAGCACGATGAACTCTTGGAAGTCGATCTCCAGGTCTCTGTTCTGGTCCAGATCTGCAAACAGCTCATCCAGAGTCTCCTTATCTTGGATATTCTTAAAAGAGACAAGAACAGTCAACTGTGAAGGGTAATCTGTGTCTGATTAGAATTTGTGTCAGGTTATGTGAGTTAAAAATGTTCTATAGGCCCATACATGCTTATAACAAGTAATAAAGCATTCACCTGCAGGCTTTAAGTAAAGCGTAATAATCTAATAATCATAGAATAATAATCTAAATCATTGCAATCAGCTGTTTAATATAATTCCTTATTGTATCATTTTTTATTCATACAGAAGGCTAAAAAACGATTCCTCTTTTTCTAATTGGATGTAGGCCAGTTGTATAACACCATGATGACACACTTCAGATGAATTTAAATGATAGATAGTGTTGTCGTACGTAGTAATATACTCAGAGGACAAACAGAGGGTCTGTCCCAAATGGCACCCTATTCCCTATTATAGTGCACTACTCTTGTCCAGGGCCTGTAGGGCTCTGGTCAAAAGTAGTGCACTGTATAGGGAATACACTCGTAGAAAAAAGGTTATTCGGCTGTCCCCGTAGGAGAACACTTTTTGGTGCCAGGTAGAACCCTTTTTGGTTCCAGGTAGAAATAACCCTTTTGGGTTCCATGTAGAACCCTCTATGGAAAGGGTTCTACATGGAACCCAAAAGGGTTCTTTCTACCTGGAACCAAAAAGGGTTCTTCAAAGGGTTCTCCTAGATGGGGACAGCTGAAGAATCCTTTTAGGTTCTAGATAGCTCCTTTTTTTCTAAGAGTGTAGGGTGCCATTTGAGATACAGACAGAGAGTGACTCACAGTGATGAAGTGACTCATCTCATTATTGATAAGCTCTTTGAGCTCTGCCTTCTTCAACTTGCACTTGTGGCCCGAGTATTTATGGAACACATGGATGATGGCGATCATGGAACTCTCTAGCTCTGACATGCTCTGATCAGTTCTCTGTCAGGGACACAGAACCATATAATTACATATAGAACATTCCAGGCACAGAACACAGACACAGCAAGCCTAAATCACCTTTCAAATCTATGTTTAAAAGGCCCAGTGCAGTCAAAAATTTGATTTTCCTGTGTTTTATACAGTACAAAACATTAGGAACACCTTCCTAATACTGAGCTGCACCCCCTTTTGCTCTCAGAACAGCCTCAATTCATCGGGGAATGGACTCTACAAGGTGTAGAAAGGATTCCCCATGTTGACTACAGTGCTTCCCACAGTTGTGTCAAGTTGCCTGCATGTCCTTTCGGTGGTGGACCATTCTTGATACACACGGGAAACTGTTGAGCGTGAAAAACCCAGCAGCATTGCAGTTTTTGACACACTCATACCCCGTTCAAAGGCACTTAAATATTTTGTCTTGCCCATTCGCCCTCTGAATGGCACACACACAATCAATGTCTCAATTGTCTCAAGGCTTAAAAATCCTTCTTTAACCTGTCTCCTCCCATTCATCTACAGTGATTTAATTGAATTTAATAGGTGACATCAATAAGGGATCATAACTTTCACCTGATTAGTCTGTCATGGAAAGAGCAGGTGTTCCTAATGTTTTAAACACTCAGTGTATATTTCCACACTATGAGGTTGGAGTAATACTGTGAAATTGTGAAAATTATGATAATGCACTTTTAGTGTAAGCGCTGTTTGAAAAGACTGCCTGAAATTTCAGCCTGTTTTGGTGGGATGGAGTTTTGGACCTTTAAAGGACTTTGTATGTTCAGAGTTTTGGTTGATACAATTACTATAGGCTACCCATATATCAACAAAACAATCTCCATTTCAAAATTATTCAAGCAAATTGGAATTAAATAGAAAGTGATAATTCAAATACCTTTCTATTTATTTCTATTTTTTTTGTACATGTTTCTTAGACACTCCCTATAAGATTAGGAACATCGCCAATCTTATGAGGCATATTTAGAACTGTATAGTATTATAGCCTATGATTTCATTGTACGTGCTTTCATATTGCTCATCGCTCCTTAGCTAAACTCAATGCTCAAATAGGTCTACATTGTGTTCGCCTTATCGTCTTATAAATGGGGAAAAAAGCTCATTCAGAACATCTAACCATAGAGTGACATAAATAACTACAGAAAGACAATTTTTTCCTCAATTATCTACACAAACAATTCCACGCAAATGCAATAATTATTGCTCAATTATTTGCTTTATTATATTACCTGCATTTGAAGACAGAAGCCACCCGGTTTTCGCTGTATTGTGAGGCTTGGCAGGCTAATGACAAACTGATGCTCTAAGGCTGAGACACTCCTTGGCACTGTCCCAAACGGCATCATATTCCTTTTATAGTGCACTTCTTTTGACCAAGGCCCATAGGGATCTGGTCAAAAGTAGTGCACTATATACAGTGCCTTCAGAAAGTATTCACAGCCCTTTAATTTTTCCACATTTTGTTGTGTTAAATTTTAAAATGGATTACATTGAGATTTTTGGTCACTGGCCTATACACAATACCCCATACTGTCAAAGTGGAATTATTCATTTAAAAATGAAAAGCTGAAATGTCTTGAGTCAATAAGTATTCAACCCGTTTGTTATGGCAAGCATAAATAAGTTCAGGAGTAAACATTTGCTTAACAAGTCATATAATAAATTGTATGGACTCACTCTGTGTGCAATAATAATGTTTAACTTTCTTTTTGAATGACTACTTCATCTCTGTAACCCACACATACAATTATCTGTAAGGTCCCTCAGTTGAGCAGTGAATTTCAAACACAGATTCAACCACAAAGACCAGGGAAGACGTCCAATGCCTCGCAAAGAATGGGACCTATTGGTAGATGGTAAAAAAAATAAGACATTGAATATCCCTTTGAGCATGGTAAGTTATTAATTACACTTTGGATGGTGTATCAGTCACTACAAAGATACAGGCTTCCTTCCTAACTCAGTTGCCGGAGATGAAGGAAACCGCTCAGGGACTTCACCATGAGGCCAATGGTGACTTTAAAACAGTTACAGAGTTTAATGGCTGTGATAAGAGAAAACTGAAGATGGATCAACAACATTGTAGTTACTCCACAATACTAACCTAATTGACAGATTGAAAAGAAGGAAGCCTGTGCAGAATAACAAATATTCCAAAATATGCATCCTGTTTGCAACAAGGCACTAAAGAAATAATGCAAAAAAATGTTTGTCCTGAATACAAAGTGTTATGTTTGGGGCAAATCCAATACAACAGATTACTAAGTACAACTCTCCATATTTTCAAGCATTGTGGTGGCTGCATCATGTGATGGGTATGGTTGTAAGTCGCTCTGGATAAGAGCGTCTGCTAAATGACGTAAATGTAAATGTAAATGTTGTAATCGTTAAGGACTGGGGAGTTTTTCAGGATAAAAATAAACGGAATGGAGCTAAGCACAGGCATAATCCTAGAGGAAAACCTGATTCAGTCTGCTTTCCACCAGACACTGGGAGATGAATTCACCTTTCAGCAGGACAATAACCTAAAACACAAGGCCAGATCTACACTGGAGTTGCTTACCAAGAAGACAGTGAATGTTCATGAGTGGCCGAGTTACAGTTTTGACTTAAATCTACTTGAAAATCTATGGCAAGACCTGAAAATGGTTGTCTAGCGATGATCAACAACCAATTTGACAGAGCTTGAAGAATTTGAAAAGAATAATGAGCAAATGTTGCACAATCCGTGTGTGCAAAGCTCTTAGAGACTTACCCAGAAAGACTCAAAGCTGTAATCGCTGCCAAAGGTGATTCTAACATGTATTAGTGTTTTATTTTTCATAAATGTTTTACAAATGTTATAATTTTTCTTCCACTTTGACATTACACAGTATTTTGTGTAGATCGTTGACCAAAAAATGACAATTAAATCATTTTTAATCGCACTTGGTAACAAAACAAAATGTGGAAGAAGTCAAGGGGTGTGAATATTTTCTGAAGGCACTGTAGGGAATAAGTAATTTGGAACATAGCCATTGTCCAGTGGTTGTGTGTTTTCAGCCTTGTCTCTCAGTGGTCTGAACAGCTAAACTGTATTGATCAATCACATGAAAGCTCCTATCAGTCAGCGACTATGTCCCAAACGGCACCATATTCTCTTTATAGTGCACTACTTTTATGGGCTTTGGTCATATTGGCCCTGATCAAAAGTATTGCACTGTAAAGGGAATAGCTTGCTATTTGGGACTCCAGTCTCCATACAGGCCTTCTACAGTAATGGTTGATGTTTGCAGCATGATAATGGATGCTTCTGGTGGTAATAGAGAGGCAGTAGGGCACCACTAAAACTATTTCCTCTTCAATTGTGTTACTTACTGGGATTCTCTTACTGTTGTGTTCATATCAAATGACAAATGCACATAGGATTATATTTGTTTAGGTCACCTCTGCCTTGGATTGAGTATATAGAGTTGATGTGCTGATGGGGAGAATAGGATTTTATTCAACACTTTCAATGCTGTGTTGCATAGCTGTCTTCTCCCTTTACCTTTCTATGTAAAGATACATGTATTGAGGGATTAATTAGAAATTAATAGGCCTACTTAATAGGGCGTATGGTCTAGGTCTTGAACTGGTGCAGTTGAAGTTGTTACATTGTAGCTAACCTAATGTAGTAGGTGTCGACACATTGCAGCAGGCAGCATACAACTCTACACACTGGTAGGGTGGCAGGCTACAGTACTACATTATTGTAACCTCCGCCCACGTCCGCTGCGCTGGAAAAGCCTTCGCGAGCTCAGTGGAAAATCACCTCCGTCCGCCCTTCCGATACGCGAAAACATCTGCAGCGACGTAATCAAACAAGAACAGGAAACTACGTCCCTGAAGTAGGGAATTGAGATCGCCGAAATTGAATTGTCGCCCGTAGGCTATTTGTTTTATTGTAGCGGACTGTAGACTAGCATACACGCATCACGCCCATTCCGAAACATCCTCAGCCTGCATTGACACAGGAAACATTAAGCAGATTGGATCGTGACAGGTCAGCTTTGAAGGGCGCTAGACGAGAAAACACCCTAATACGAATCAGCCGGAACCTTTCCCGGTAAGAGTAAAATAAGTTACAATGTTTTTATATAAGGTAGCATTCACTGTTGATAGCTTGTTTATATAAACACGTTGTCTTCATTTCTAGATCCATGTTGCTCAAATGGCCTACTCAAGTGGCGAGTGGGCAAGGTTTTTTTCACTACCGTAATTAACTACAGTGCGTGAAATATGCGTACGTAGAGTAGCCCATATTCTGGATGGATTGACCGCAATATTTGAATTTAAAAGAATTAGTATTTATATGCCTGGTCGTGCTTGCTTTCCTGTTCTGTGAGACTGTTCTCTGTATCAATGAGACACACTCCTTTCACGCCACTTCGATAAAAAGTGATTTACGTAGCAGGTTAGGAAAGCATTTCCCCTAACTCTTTTCCTAACCTTAACCTCAGTCTCCTAACCTGCTATGTTAATTTCCTAACCTGCTGCAAGTTCTCCTAACCTGCTACGAAAAAGTCACTTCGGTATTCAAGTGGCATTAAAATATTGTTTTCCCAGTAGCCTATTCTTGACAGTGAACTCTCATATTTGAAGAAGACTGTAATCAATGTAACTCTTATAGAATGACAATATCATATTCAAATGTTAATATTTTGTCTTAAAAAAAAGTGTTTGCAGGACTATAACCAGAGTAAAACTTTGGCTGTATTCAGTTTTTTTTTTAAATATCACGTGTCCAATGGGGCAACCACACAGCTGGCTCAACCTGCCCAGATGCCATACATTTCACTTTGACAATAAGGAGGAACCAGAAAGATCAGTTTTAGGCTACTGGACTTCTTTGCAGTTTGCATATGGATAGAGAGTGCATGCAGGCTATTAAATGGGGGTCATTCTTTTCCTTTGCTCTCACTTACGTAGAGATGTCCTAGTTTCATTATTTCAGAGGCTATAATTAGGCATGCACCCAGAGGCAGGCCACACACACATACACACACACACACACATTCATGAACTATAAATATCAGAGCATACCTCCCCAGGTAATTCAGTCAATTGCTTCTTTACAACCTCTACAGAGTTAGTCTTTGACGTCTTCAAGATCCTTTCCCCATTGAGAGAAGCTATGGCCCACTAGGCTGTGGCTAAACAATGTCTCTTTTATCTGGATGGTCACAATAACATTTTGTAACCCCTTAGGTTAGCCACGCACAGCACAATTTGTTGGGAGAAACAAACCACCAGAAACTCTCTGACTCCATATCTAAGGTACTATCTAAGGCCCCACTAGCCTACACAGGTATTAAAGGTGTTGACCATCTCTCTCTCTGTCTCTTTCTGTCTCTCAGGTCAGGTGTCAAGTATGGCTGATCTGCTGAAGCTGCTGCTGCGTGTGGCAGAGAAGGCGGCCAACGTGGCCCGCGTGTGCAGGAAAGAAGCCCCTCTTTTCCAGCTGCTGGTCCAGGAGAAGACTGGGGTGGACAAGAACAAGAAGTTTGTCCAAGACTTCAAGACCCTGGCTGATGTGGTAATCCAAGAGATGATCCGCCATGATGTTGGAGCTCAGGTACAAGAACCAAAACACTTCTCATGTTATCATGATGAGGATTGTTTCATGTTTGAAATATTTTTAGGCAAGCCTCTGGAGGATTTGTGGCATATCGCTCTCTGGTATGATAAAATATTTTTGACAATCTTAACCCCCTACTTGTTTTATCCTGTTTAACCTTAGTTTCCTGAAATGATTGACCATATACAAGGAGAGGAGTCTAACAAGTTTGAGAATGGACTAGGTTAGTAATAACAACACCCACAGTTCAGTAACACTTAGTACTATTACTATGTAACAACATGTTAATACAATGCTGGTACATGACTAATAACAGTGTCATAACATGGGTATAAGAGCAACATATACAATGACATCTACTTTTTAATAACACTAGACCTGTTGACTGTGTGTGTATTCATGCGTGCGTCCCAGGGGAGAGTGTGATAGTCACAGTGTGTGGGATGGAGAAGGAGACAGCAGCGCTGCTTGCCACGGTGCTGGACGGGGACCAGACGGCGGCGACACTCCTGGCGAGTGCCATCCACCAGGACGCTGAGCTCACACTCGCAGACACAGGGACAGACGACCTCTACATACCCCTCAGCCCCTCTGACCTGGGCATCTGGATCGACCCCATCGGTAACACCTGACCTAGAGTCACTATTTAAAAACAAGATTTGTTGTATCTCCGTAGATATACGTGAATGGATATTATGGATAATGTTTAGAAGGGATGTGTAAGCACTGAGCAGATCCAATTGTAATGTATGGTGTATTGTGTAATTACTACACCAACGCCAAGGGAGAGATTTTTCCTTGTCCTTTAACACTGTTATAATTATAAGCAAGGCACATATTATTATACGTAGTGCCTTCGGAAAGTATTCAGACCCCTTGACTTTTTCCATATTTTGTTAGGTTACAGCCTTATTCTAAAATTGATTAAATTGTTTTTTTCCCCTCATCAATCTACACACAATACCCCATAATGACAAAGCAAAAACAGGTTTTATACATTTTTGCTAATTTATTAAAAATAAAAACTGAAATATCACATTTACATAAGTATTTAGACCCTTTACTCAGTACTTTGTTTAAGCACCTTTGGCAGCGATTATAGCCTCGAGTCTTCTTGGGAATGATACTACAAACTTGGCACACCTGTATTTGGGGAGTTTCTTCCATTCTTCTCTGCAGATCCTCTCAAGCTCTGTCAGGTTGGATGGGGAGCGTTGCTGCACAGCTATTTTCAGGTCTCTCCAGAGATGTTCGATCGGGTTCAAGTCCGGGCTCTGGCTAGGCCACTCAAGGACATTCAGAGACTTGTCCTGAAGTCACTCCTGCATTGCCTTGGCTGTGTGCTTAGGGTCATTGTCCTGTTGGAAGGTGAACCTTCGCCCCAGTCTGAGGTTCTGAGCACTCTGGAGCAGGTTTTCATCAAGGATCTCTCTGTACTTTGCTCAGTTCATCTTTGCCTCGATCCTGACTAGTCTCCCAGTCCCTGCCGCTGAAAAACATCCCCACAGCATGATGCTGCCACCACCATACTTCACCGTAGGGATGGTGCCAGGTTTCCACCAGACGTGACACTTGGCATTCAGGCTAAAGAGTTCAATCTTGGTTTCATCAGACCAGAGAATCTTGTTTCTCATGGTCTGAGAGTCCTTTAGGTGCCTTTTGGCAAACTCCAAGCGGGCTGTCATGTGCCTTTTACTGAGGAGTGGCTTCTGTCTGGCCACTCTACCATAAAGGCCTGATTGTTGGAGTGCTGCAGAGAAGATGGTTGTCCTTCTGGAAGTTTCTCCCATCTCCACAGAGGAACTCTAGAGCTCTGTCAGAGTGACCATCGGGTTCTTGGTCACCTCCCTGACCAAGGGCCTTCTCCCCTGATTGCTCAATTTGGCCAAGTGGCCAGCTCTAGGAAGAGTCTTGGTGGTTCCAAACTTCTTCCATTTAAGAATGATGGAGGCCACTGTGTTCTTGGGGACCTTCAATGCTGCAGACATTTTTTGGTACCCTTCCCCAGATCTGTGCCTCGACACAATCCTATCTCTGAGCTCTACGGACAATTCCTTCGACCTCATGGCTTGGTTTTTTCTCTGACATAAACTGTCAACTGTGGGACCTTATATAGACAGGTGTGTGCCTTTCCAAATCATGTCGAATGAATTGATTTTACCGCAGGTGGACTCCAATCAAGTTGTAGAAACATCTCAAGGATGATCCATGGAAACAGGATGCACCAGAGCTCAATTTCGAGTCTCATAGCAAAGGCCCTGAATACTTATGTAAATAAGGTATTTCTGTTTTCAATTTTAATTTTATTAGCAAACATTTCTAAGAACCTGTTTTCGCTTTGTCATTATGGAGTATTGGGAGTAGATTGCTGAGGAAATGTTTTTATTTAACCATTTTAGAATAAGGCTGTAACGTAACAAAATGTGGAAAAAGTCAAGGGGTCTGAATACTTTCCGAAGGCACTGTATGTTGTTCCTATCGGTTTGGTTGTCCTTCAGATGCCACCAGCCAATACATTGAGGGTCGTGAGGAGTCGGCGGAGGAGGGGCGTCTCTGTCCGTCAGGTCTGCAGTGTGCCCTGGTTCTGATCGGGGTTTACCTCCGCGCAACTGGGGAACCCGTCATGGGGGTCATCAACCAGCCCTTCAACCACAAAGACCCAACAGGGTGAGACTCTAGAACAGGGGTCTCCAACAGGTAGATCACTTGCTACCAGTAGCTCACAGCCAATCAATTCTGAAAGTACATGCATTTTTCCATCGCAAAATGTCATAAACATAAAACTCCCGGCTACTATCCAATCAAAGCCACATTGACATTATCCCACCCCTGGTTAGCCACTATTAGCTTAAAAAGCCAAACGTAACACAATATCTGCCAATTAATTTCCAGCAATATGGCCCTGTCTGTCTGTTTGGTGTGCATGTTTGTCAATCACTCCGTATATAGCCAGTTAGCTATGCTAATAATGACCGTCTTGTGGGTAGACAGAAGACTTTCCCCAAAAACCTTCTCAATTAAATGTTAACTGCAAAGTAGGCTTATCTGACAACTATAAATCATACTTGTTTGTATCAATTGGGTGGCCATTGTTTTATAAACTCCGCCATGACAGTAGGCCTAACAGCAGAAACATTGCTAAATTGACACATTCCTCTCTTGCCAGATGTGCAATTAATGGGGAATTACACAAAAAAAATGTTTTTTTGAAATTGTCTTCTGATGTGATTTAAGCATTGACATGGACATCCATTTTCGTTGATGCTCTATGAATAATTGTAATATTAAGTGTCCCAAACCAGGAAAAATAAAACAGAGAAAACAGAATTTAATTTGATGGAGCCTGTCATGCCAAATACTGTTTATCAACCATAATTTTACCAGGTACAATATATTGACAGAAAACACAACTCTTGTACATCAACATCAACGATCCGGGGATGAGTTGCATGGTAGAGAAAATAATGTGCCTATTTGAAAGCATAAAACATTTTTGTAGCTCACATCTAAAAAAAAAAAAAAAAAAAAAAGGTAGGTCTCATGCTAGAAAAGGTTGGAGACCCCTGCTATAGAACCAGAACAGCAAATCAGTGTTGACACCAGGGGCCTCATTTATAAATGCTGCGTACGTACAAAATATACCCCAAAACGTGCAGTCGCCAGTTTTCACGCAAAAGTTGGTATTTATAAAAATGTTACTTGACGTGAGAATGTGCTTAATTTCCTGCAAACTTTAGACCATGAGTGTGCACAATTTCTGGTGGTTGAAGTATTGCATTGCAAGCAAGTAGTATTTTATGGAAATGGGGGATATGATGACTCGCTTATTCATAAAAAAAAAAAAAACAGGAAAATATAACAACAATATGCAATCATTTGCCGTTAGTGAGGAGCGAAAATCTATTTATTTTATCTTTGCAATCTAAAAAATATATAGTAATAGGAATCTATTTCCTGATTATTTTATTTCCATGATCATCATAAATTCCTCACCTTTCCTGACTGATGGTTTCAAACTCCCAAAGTAGCGTATTCAACAAATTAGCATACAATTAGTTATTTCATTTAATTGGACCTACTTCACAGTAGTAAATAAATAAGCTATTTCAAGTATTTTGCTCTATATGATCCGATCCGGAGCGCGGTTAAAATTAGAACGTAACAGTAGAATTGACAGTTCACCATGTCATTTCAAATGTTTTAAGTGGGCACAGTTCACCATGTCATTTCAAATGTCTTAAGTGGGCACAGTTCACCATGTCATTTCAAATGTCTTAAGTGGGCACAGTACACCATGTCATTTCAAATGTCTTAAGTGGGCACAGTTCACCATGTCATTTCAAATGTCTTAAGTGGGCACAGTTCACCATGTCATTTCAAATGTCTTAAGTGGGCACAGTTCACCATGTCATTTCAAATGTCTTAAGTGGGCATAGACAATGTTTCAGAATTCGCGGGAAGTGCATCATATTTAGGTTGGGGGGGGAAGAGGTCTAGAGTAACTGAATTTTTTTTGTGACAACACCTCTGAGAACATTTGATCTAAAATGCTGTGGCCTAATTCCAAAAGTTCAAAATCAAACAGCAAATAAGGGTGTTATTGTCACCATAAAAAGGTAAATGATGGGTGTTTTCCAGGCGGAATTATAATGCTTGTTCACGATGTGCACAGTTTACGACAGGTCTGATTTATAATATAATAATAATAATATGCCATTTAGCAGACGCTTTTGATTTATAATGGGAAATATGTGCAAGTATGGCATGCCGCAAGTTTATAAATCTCAATCTTTTTTTACTTACGCACACGCAGTTATTTAGTGTGAAATTTACTCAACGGTTATAAATTAGGCCCCTGGGTTATGGTCAATGCCATTTCAGTTCAGTCGATTCAAATAACTAATTGTTACCAATTTAAGTATTGTAAAGTTTTTATTTTCAATTGAATTACAATTAAACCTGTCTGACACAGAAATAACATACTCAATAATGCTCAGTTCTCACCAACAAAGCTGCCTTAGTCAATGACGTTTGTGTGATGTGCGTATTTGTTGCAGCTGGAAGGGGAAGCATTTCTGGGGTGTGTCGTGTGGGACCGTCAAAGCCTGCTCGGTGCTCAGACCTAAAGATAGACCTGTAGAGACGACAGCAGCGGGAGGACCAGGGCTCTCAGTGGTGATGAGCTCCAGTGAGAAGCAGGCAGTGAAAGAGGCTTTGGCCCCTCTGTGTGGGCCTGACAGGCTGATGTACGCCTCGGGGGCCGGATACAAGATCCTGTGTGTGATCCTGGGCCTGGCTGACGTCTACGTCCTCTCAGAGGGTAGCACCTTCAAGTGGGACTCCTGCGGCCCCCATGCCCTGCTCCGTGCACTGGGTGGGGGGATGGTGGACCTTAAAGAGTGCCTCCGCTCCTCTGGCTCCAGCCACTGTGAGGGGGGGCACCAGGACCAGGGGGAACTGACCTACCACCAACCCCACACAGAGAGCTCTGGGGTGGACCACTGGGCCAACCAGGGGGGCCTGGTGGCCTATCTCGACTGTCAAATGCTCCATAGGGTTATTGGGGAACTGAAGGGCAAGTTTTAAAGGAAGAGGAGATGATAGTGAAGGGCACAAGTAGAAGTATCGTTGCTTATAGGGTCGTGCTGCTTAATATTCTATTTTTGGAGGGGTGTGGTGTTTTTCTATCGACTATGCTGACCAAGTAATGTTTTAACAGCTATGTATTTGCAAATGTAAATATATGAAGGAATGTAAACATGTTATTAAACTATAACTACAATAGTTGTTATGTAAAGGTGTTTTGTAAAAGATTAAGCTGCACCTAAATGGAACGTCTCTTTACAGTTACTAGTTCTCTCATTGTCAAGAAGTGTGTTGGTGGCAAATCAAATCTAACTTCAGGAAAGACCTGAGTGCTGTTTTTTAAGTATCCCACTTATATTCCAAAGCAAGATAATGAGAATTGAAAGATACAGGTAAGAACGGGAACAGGCATGGTTCATGAAACAGTAGCACACACTGCACAGATGAAACAACATGCTTTTTGTCATACAAAAATGTGGCTAATGGAAATAACCCTGCTTTTAATTGGTTAAGGATCTCTTGATGACCCAGTTGAAGTTGTGAAGTAGTGAGACGGGGAGACGTTTAGTAAATATCCCAAGTGTCTCCCTTTTGACAGAAGCACATGGTGTGAGAGGCGATAGTGGAGAAGAGTCAAATAAGCCGGTCTCTGGGAATCTGCAGAGGCCCAGAAAAGGCCTTTTATGGAAGAGAGGTGCGTTCTACACTGTTTCCATAGCTCTAGCTGTATGACTTAAGATAAGTAAAGGTCAGAGGAGGAATAAGACACGAGGTGCGGCAATGAACACTCGCCCATTTAATTTTTGGTTTACTGTAAATGAAGGATTAAACCCCTTTGAAGGAATGGGGAAGAACTGTCACGTAGCCATGCCAGGTCATCAAGTGGCTTTCTGGAGCTAATGTAGAAAACAGGTAAACCAGGTCATGAGGTTCACAAGGTGTTTGTTCAATAGAAGTCAACCTGTACCAAGGGTGTGGAGGAGATTAAATAAGATTATTCTCCACTATCACCTGCACCACTTCATTGACACACCCCGGAATCTATTGGAATGCTGTCCAAAGGTGTAGTCATTATTAAGAGCTGGATTCAAACCATAGCGCTGAAGTTCCACGTTGTAGCCGATTGACATTTTAAAGGGAATGTTCCCGCATTAGCGGAGACTGCATTCACGGTAAACGCTGCATGTCGGCTCAATCAGTAATAACCTTTAAATTTGAAGCGCGCTATAGCGCTGAACTTCGGCAATATGGATTGAATCCAGCCCTAAATGTTGCCCTGGCTGTCTCTATGGTCTTCCATCAGAAAAACAGATAGCATCCTAAAGGACCAGCAAGTTGTGATGGGTGGGCTCTACTGTAAATTCAAAATGAATGTGTTGAGCCATTTCATGAGCGTGCTCCAGAAGTGCCATCAGCAGGACCCCTGGTTTCTGCACCATTGGAATTACACAGCATTCTCCTGTCTTGTGAGTTGTAACTTGAAGACAGAATTCATTCCACATAACTCACAAAACAAACAATGAAAGTGCATTCATCAGTCTGTAGGAAATCAACTTTACTATGAAATCCAGAGAAAAGCTAAATCAACTGAACAGTGATGTTTCACAATTTCAATAAACTCTTGCCAGCAAACTCACACTTTCCTACCCCAAAAACATTTAAAAAATGCAAGTGTCACGCACATTTAACCCCGATTGTCAGATTTTTTGCAATATTTGTTTTTGCATATACTGTTTAAAAATACCATGGGGAAAAAAACAAATTATTCTGGGATGTTGGGTCTTCTTCCACACTGGGTGCCGTTAGTTGACTTGCTGTTATAGGCTGCTACTTAAGCCATACATTCTCAAGTCAACTAGGGTATCTAAAACATAATTGACAGCGCTAACAATACAGCCTAAAACTGAGATTAAATTAAACCTCTATAATACCTCCATTTAAGTGGACAATTGCATTGAAAACTTTTTTCACTTCAAGGAGAGCAAATAAACATGTGCAACAAGGGACCCTGGGTACCACTTAATCAAGGCTACAACCCATCTCCCAACATCCACAGAATGACACAAATCAAAGGTACAACCAACAAGAGGCTAATGGAACCGATACCAGGGCACATATTCATTAAGCATCTCAGAGTAGGAGCACTGATCTAGGATCAGTTGAGCCTTTTCATGGACAGGCCTGATCCTAGATCAGCACGCCTACTCTGAGACGCTTGATCCATGTGGCCCTAGACCTCTTCACATTTAAGAGGAATTAGATAATCAACTTTTAACACATTTATTTCCAATATTGTATCTCCACAGGAAAAACACAATGATTTGCCATAATGAGTAGAGACAGATTGTTAGAGATCTGAATCCTGTTCGTTCTATCCCTCTTCAATCTGCAGTATACTGTCTGAGCAAGGGGTGAAAGCGAAGGCAGTAGTAGCTTTCTTTTAAATAAAATGTGTTGGTAATAGGACTGTTAGTTTTGACATTCAGCTCCCCTGTCTTTCAATCAACCTTTAAACTGTTGGAAAGTAACTGTCAAAGAGTAGCCTCTGATAACTAATATTTTACACTGCACAGTCATTGTGTTCTCAATGGAAGCTTAGACACCTCCAATCTTAAAAGTGTGCCAAAATGGAATTAGGAGCTGAAACTTGCTTTTTCTTGAGCCATAGGATGCCTTCCAGACAATAATACCAATAATTAGGGGCTGAAAGCAGTAAATAGCCTAGGTCCTTGACTCTCACAATATAACCATCTTGATTTTTATGTGAACCTGCTTAAGTCTGACACCTCATCATAGTGCTTCTACGTGGGATTCAATTTGTTGAGAGACAGATTAAGATTAAAGTATTCACTGTAGCTAGACAGAGTTGCTATCTACGTTTGGCAGGGAGACAACTTTCACTCACCAACTTACTTTCCATTAGTGACAAATGTCACAACTATGCAAACTTTCACTCTAACTTCAATAAAAAGTAATACAAATGGCAGAAAGGCAGTTGCTCAAATGATAATCTAACCTGATAACAATTGATCAAAGAAGGCAACGGGCAGAAGGATGGGTGTGTCAAAGCAGTAACGGGCAGAGCAGCCCTCTCTCTGGAGACAGTCTTCTCCCAGGATTTAGCTTGAGCCGTTCGATCCAGCAATTCATAAATTCGGATTGGCTTCTTCCAGCCCTGTCTCCTCTTACACTAACACACACACTTTCACAGTCTGCGCCGAGACCTGAAGCAAGATTAGATGACCATTTTTTTATTTATTACAAAAGTGTCAAGAACATAAGAGTCCAATGGCATGTAATGATGCAATTGTGCGATGCAGGATTGTGCAGGAAAGTAAGACCTAAGGAAATGTGTTTGCATTGTTAGCAATAGGCTTGTGATTTCAGTGGCATGGCTACAGCTGTATCACGAAAGTAAACGAAAACAAGAAAACATGAAATGAGAGGGGGAGAGGCAAAAAGACTGCCACCTCCTAACCCCAAATATACTTAAACTCTGAGTTAGTTCCTTCTTCTTCTACATGGTCCAGTCTCTAACCTCTGGCTCATGGCCTCTGTATTGTCAGTCTTTGATACATGTGGCAGCCCCTGACCCGTGTGAATCTTCCTGAGTTTGACTGATCCTTCAACTTACGTGCAGTAGGGGGAGGTCCAGGCTCGTCGACAGACAAGCAAGAGAGACAGACATCGCCGTGTGTTGAGTGTCCCCGTGTTGCTACGATGACGTGTCACAACAATGGCCGCTCTCACCTCTGGAAGGGCTTGCGGACCTTCTTCCTCCTGCGGGGAGGAGGCTTGCCTCCGCTCTCGGCCCACGTCTCACTGGGCTCCGGCCGGGGCCCTCCAGGAGGCATGAAGAAGCCAGTCTGTGGTGGAGGAGGGGAGAAAGGTCCACTAGGTCCCGGTCCAGCACCAGAGGGTTGGTGGGGGGGCGGTCCTGAGGGGAAGAAACCTCCGTTGGCAGCCATGTCGGGGGGAGGTCCCCCTTGGAAGATACGGTTGAAGAAGTCCTGCAGGTCAGCGGGGTTGGTCGGGCCTGGAGGAGGGTGCTCTGGGCCTGGAGGTGTCCTGGAGAGCATGGGAAGAGAGTTACATTATTTCTAAAAACATTCCTTACCTCAGGACACTTCAACAGGTGACTCCAGGAAAATAAAGAAAAAGGAGCACTCACTGTCTACGTAGATCTGAGTTTTATTCACGGGACAAACATGCTTCATCAGAGCCTTGGGTGGCCTTTCATTCTATTACATTAATTATATTTTCATCTAGACTATATATAACCCTGATGCAAGTCACAATGGGATAGTTGCACAAGCACCTGCACTGACCACAGCGTAGACATTTCAGAGAACAAACTAATTTAGGCCTCTGTGCTCATTTAGAGCGGTCGATCACATAACACCTCGGTTGTGTCCCAATAATCTCTCCTTTCTCCTGAAGCATGCACTTGTTCACTTCCCTTAATGGATTTGAAAGGAAATGACTGGTATATGGAAACTCCCTTTAGCCCAGTGGTCACCAACCGGTCCGTAGGCAAAGTGTTCTTATTTTGAACCATTTCATTTGTCTGAAAAGACAAACACTGCCTACCCGGCAGACCGGGAGATCTGTGGCTAAATCGAGTCAGCCTACTGTGCTGGCCAATCGGATAGCTCAAATCACCGTGCTACAGCTTCCACGACCCCGGCCACAGCAAAGTTTGATTCTAGCCTACATGAGATTTCATAACTTTTAAAACCATGACCAGAGAGCTGCTGTTCTTATGAGTGAGTTCATGTCAAAGTTTTATTCAGCACTGTCAACACTTTTTATTCAACACTATTACAAAACATAAAACGAGCTTCTCTCTACTTCCACTGGCGCTGCAGCTGCAATGAATGAGTAGTCAAGTGTCTGCGTATTTATTATTATTAGCAGCTCCTCGTGTCTATTTTAATATCGAGGAGTATTTCACTTTCTCTGGTCATAGGAACAACATTAATTTGTGCCTGAGGCAGATGCGGTGCGAGTCAAGTTTCGCCATCAGGAGGAAGACTGTGTCCCCTCTCTCTGGTAAGTCTCACCAGAGGAAAAGAAGGAGAGAGCAGTGACCGTGAGAGGCGGACCCTCTGCTGCTCTCTCCCTCCCTCTGCTGAGACTAATGCCGTGTTCAAAACAGCGGGGAACTTGGAAATCTCTGACTTCTGACTTCAGTGCGTTCAAGACAACGGCGAACTCTGGAAAAACGAGATCCGACTGGGAAAATCATTTTGAACGGTCATCCAACTCGGAAACTCGGGCATCTTTGACCTTTTTTCAGAGTTCCCAGTTGTCTTGAAAGCACGACCATCAGATGCAGGTACCATCAGTCCAGTAAATTAAAATGGCTAATTATTAGCAAATTATTTCAATTTATGCTCAGCTGTGCCTTGCTAGTGCTACACCAACTGATCTATTTTGTTATCAAAGCTTGAGTTTTGAAATATAATATGGTCTGAGAATAGCAATATTGGCAGGCCAGGCATACAGCCAATATGCTGTGATAATGTATTAGGCCTACTGCACAAACCTCATTTCTACATAACTGTTTTTATTAGGTTTGAGGGGTTCAGATTTCTAAACTTTAAATATTGTTAATCATCAGTTATACTAAAGACATGAGGAGTGCCATAGTCTGGTTTAGACACCAGAAGTTCATGGTTATCTGTAGGAGGAATGTATATGGTGGGGTCAATGAAGGTTGGATAGGAGCCAGGGGGCTTTGGAATGTATTGAGTAGAGGAGAGGCAATCACATGATTGCCATCGCTGATATGGGTTGAGGTTAGGTCAGGTCACGTTAAGGGAGAAGGAACAGTTTATTGCTCACATCACTTAACTTCCTGCCTAGCAATAAAATATGTAAGGTTTAGAGAGAAAAGGAGTTCACCTAAATTGGAGTATATATATATATCCATACAGTGGGGAGAACAAGTATTTGATACACTGCCAATTTTGCAGGTTTTCCTACTTACAAAGCATGTAGAGGTCTGTAATCTTTATCATAGGTACACTTCAACTGTGAGAGGTGGAATCTAAAACAAAAATCCAGAAAATCACATTGTATGATTTTTAAGTAATTAATTTGCATTTTATTGCATGACATAAGTATTTGATCACCTACCAACCAGTAAGAATTCCGGCTCTCACAGACCTGTTAGTTTTTCTATAAGAAGCCCTCCTGTTCTCCACTCATTACCTGTATTAACTGCACCTGTTTGAACTCGTTACCTGTATAAAAGACACCTGTCCACACACTCAATCAAACAGACTCCAACCTCTCCACAATGGCCAAGACCAGAGAGCTGTGTAAGGACATCAGGGATAAAATTGTAGACCTGCACAAGGCTGGGATGGGCTACAGGACAATAGGCAAGCAGCTTGGTGAGAAGGCAACAACTGTTGGCGCAATTATTAGAAAATGGAAGAAGTTCAAGATGACGGTCAATCACCCTCGGTCTTGGGCTCCATGCAAGATCTCACCTCGTGGGGCATCAATGATCATGAGGAAGGTGAGGGATCAGCCCAGAACTACACGGCAGGACCTGGTCAATGACCTGAAGAGAGCTGGGACTACAGTCTCAAAGAAAACCATTAGTAACACACTACGCCGTCATGGATTAAAATCCTGCAGCGCACGCAAGGTCCCCCTGCTCAAGCCAGCGCATGTCCAGGCCCATCTGAAGTTTGCCAATGACCATCTGGATGATCCAGAGGAGGAATGGGAGAAGGTCATGTGGTCTGATGAGACAAAAATAGAGCTTTTGTCTAAACTCCACTCGCCGTGTTTGGAGGAAGAAGAAGGATGAGTACAACCCCAAGAACACCATCCCAACCGTGAAGCATGGAGGTGGAAACATCATTCTTTGGGGATACTTTTCTGCAAAGGGGACAGGACGACTGCACCGTATTGAGGGGAGGATGGATGGGGCCATGTATCGCGAGATCTTGGCCAACAACCTCCTTCCCTCAGTAAGAGCATTGAAGATGTCGTGGCTGGGTCTTCCAGCATGATAACGACCCGAAACACACAGCCAGGGCAACTAAGGAGTGGCTCCGTAAGAAGCATCTCAAGGTCCTGGAGTGGCCTAGCCAGTCTCCAGACTTGAACCCAATAGAAAATCTTTGGAGGGAGCTGAAAGTCCGTATTGCCCAGCAACAGCCCCGAAACCTGAAGGATCTGGAGAAGGTCTGTATGGAGAAGTGGGCCAAAATCCATGCTGCAGTGTGTGCAAACCTGGTCAAGACCTACAGGAAACGTATGATCTCTGTAATTGCAAACAAAGGTTTCTGTACCAAATATTAAGTTCTGCTTTTCTGATGTCTCAAATACTTATGTCATGCAATAAAATGCAAATTAATTACTTAAAAATCATACAATGTGAGTTTCTGGATTTTAGATTCCGTCTCTCACAGTTGAAGTGTACCTATGATAAAAATTAGACCTCTACATGCTTTGTAAGTAGGAAAACCTGCAAAATCGGCAGTGTATCAAATACTTGTTCTCCCCACTGTATATATATCTGTGTTGGTGGAAACATGTCTTTGTCTCATGCAGCTGTGTGACCCAGTGGGTGAATAAACTTGGTTTGAGCTTTAATAGTCGTCCGTCGGTTTTTACATTGTTATTCAGAACCTTACAGGTCAATGTAATTTTTTTTTTAGTAATGTTTAAACTAATCTGAGCGGTAGATCTCGGCTTGCTTTTTGACTGTGAAAGTGATCTTGACTCAGAAAAGGTTGGTGACCACTGCTCTAGCCCATGCCTACACCAATCCAATGCTTTTACATTTGTGTGGAGTAGTTAACAAGTGCACACTTCAGGAGGAAGATGAGATTATTGGAACGCAACCCTCATTGCCCTGGGACCAACCTGTGGCGTTGCGTGGAGCTACTGTTGTTCTTGGAGCCGAAGGAGATGTGGTAGGGCACGCGGTGTGTGTCTGGAGAGATTCCTATCCTCTGGCAGCCGGCCCACTCTGAAAGGTGAGGGCGGAGAAGGTGACAAATTAATAAATGTGACAATAGGGAAGAAAGCAGTTAGGAGGAGAAATAGTCAGTCTGAATTTAGGTGTCTTTATTACTGCATTGTTGGGAACACGCTTGCAAGGAAGGCATTTCACTGTACTTGTGCACGTGACAATAAAAACTTGAAACTTAACATTATTTGCCAGCTTAGAATTGAATTTAGTTGTAGGGCTTTTGAGCCTGTCAGTTGGCTTGTTAAGGGTTCAAGCAGCGAAGCTGGGCGAAACACCTATAGTATTTGTTGGCGTTCATTATTATTCTCCTTCCGGCGATTTGGTGAAAAAATTTCAATTCTTGTGAGATGTAAGGCCCAGGAGGGTGCAACATTGCAAGATGGTAAAGGGCCAAGCGCCACACCCATTCATGCAATGCCATTCCAAACGGCCACACAGTGGCGCTATAACAAGCGATTGAAAATGCAAACTTTTAAAGGTCACGCCCTTCACCGTATGTCCTAGACTCCTGAAAGTTGGTACTTAGGTCCCTCTCCTCACAAGGAAAAAATGTGCCTCAAGGACTCTTAATGATGGATTTCCCACCATTTTTTTTTTGTGACACACTTAAGACGCTACTGTTATGGCACCGAATGACCAATCTGCACAAAACTTGATACATGGCATCTGTGGACCAAGTTCTCACAAATTATGTTTCTCCAGTCTAGCATCTCAAACAATATGGCCACTACTGACCAATGAACATTCACGTGGGCATGGTCTGGCACATAAATGCATTCACAGTTTAGATGGTACAATGATTCTCTACACTATACTATATACTATATTATTAAAATGTATGCAACCAGGAAATGCCGGAGGGATTTCAGCATAGTGCATCTTTAAGTCAATGCATAAAAGGGTATGGCATTAGCATAGATGAGGGCCGAACTATCCATGTGGGTGTCATTACACGGCTTGTCAAAGAAATTGGCTTGTTCGACATTGACTGCATTGCAGTTGGCGATTGCAGACTTACTGATCTACAAATCACCTTGCATCATAAATAACTACTCATTATTATTTGTAGAGCAGTCAGTCAAAATTGACCCACAATGCATTGCAGTTTTGATGCTCTCAAACACTGCCATAGTCAAGCCAGTACCTGTGATGTCGTAGACCTTGCCGTCCATGCAGGCGAAGTAGGTGATGCGTAGGCCCAGCAGGCTGGACTCGGCCCACAGTTCTCCCTCCTCGGCGCTGTGGCGTCTGTTACACTCTGCACAGAACCGCGCCTCAGCAGGCTCCCGGTCCATCTCAAACCTCCTGCACACACAGGGATGAATCATGGAGGAGCCAGCAATGTAAACTAAACCTGGCCTGTGCTTGTGTTTTTTGTCTGTAACAAAGATTTTATAGGAAGCAAAATGTATTAATACAATTTGAGTGATTTGGAGTAGTCACCATATTCATTTAGCTAAATACTGTAGGAGTGACAAGACTGCAGTGTAGGTAAATTATATTACTATTCCAATCCCTCACTTTCACAAAAGTCTGCAGGGTGTTGGTTGTAAATGTATTATATTTTTGATAGATATTCATATATTACAGATATTAATTCAGTCTGAGTGACGTACCTGTGTTTGCCCTCACACTTGGTACACATCATGGTGTTCATAGCTTCCTTCAGGTCATCCTGCAGTTTGGTGAGGAAGTCATTCATCGACTTGGAGAGTTCTGTCTGAGCCATGCGCTTCCTGAGAGAGGAGCAGGCAAACAAATGTCAACGCTATATCAACTACACCAAACATCCCATCGGCCTTCAGTGCAGTCATTCGATCACTGTTTCTTGCATTTGAATTAAGTAATCGTCCAGTTTGTGTGCCTTCTACTCACAGCACATATTCTCTCCATGTATCCTGTTACTGAGGAACTAAACCAAACATCCCACAGGCCTTTAGATTGACTATACCATGCTAAGCACCACAGTTAGGTAATGCTTCTTCATCTGAAATTCCTATTGTGAGAGGCCTGAGTTCTAACAGATATATTTTGTTGAAGGTGTAGTCATTTTATCATAGCTTCTTGCATTTGATTTAAATACTGGTCCAGTAGTTTGTGTTTCTTTTACTCACAGCTCGTATTCCCTCCGTGTCTCTGGGTTACTGACGATGTCCCAAGCAGCCCTCAGCACCTTAAAGGCCTCCCCAGCACGTGGATGCTTGTTCTTGTCTGGATGGACCTGAGAGAGGAAAGAAAAGAGAAATATGGCCAGATGTAAGGGGCAGAGCAGATAACATGCAAGAGAGAGAGCAACTAAGGAAGAGACAACAGGTTGGCTACTTCTACTCATTTTCTGATTACATTTTATATTGTGGATATAAAACAATAAAAGATGCATGCAGCCATGCACAACTAAGTGCAAAAATGATTTGGCTTGTGTTCTGACAGGCAAAGCTGAAATTATTTGACTATAATCGCTACACTCTCCAGTTGATGAGTTCCACTCATTTTTATAATTCACCTGTACTCATAAGATGTCATGCCCATCTCATTTACACTCACCTGGACAGCCAGCTGTCTGTAGGCCCTCTTTAGCTCAGCTTCAGTTGCGTGGGCCTCCACCCCCAGCACTGTAAAAGGGTCCAGCTCCTCTTCAGGGACCTGAGCCAGAGCCAGCAGTCTCTCCAGCTCCTGCCCAGGCTGGTACCTGCCTACTCCACCGGGAGAATCTGGGGTGAACGGGGGCACCTGGGTGGTGGTGCCTCTCCTCCTCCTGAACCAGCCGCTGACCCTTTCCACCAGCGAGGCCACCCTCCTCCAGACCTTGGAGTCCTGCACGGCCGTCCACCAACGCTGTCCCCTCTCCCCGCCCAGCCGGACCAGCTTGAACCGGGCCCACTGTGACCCCTGCAGCACCACGGCACAGAGGAGGCCGAAGCAGGTCAGGGAGGCCTGCAGGACACACTCCACCGACCAGATGCTCTTATCCACCAGGACCGTCCCAGCGCAACTCACCCTCTCCAGCACGCGCCGGGCATCCGCCTTCATCCCTGGCACGTCTGTGACCTTGTTGAGCAGCTGTGAGCAGAGGTCATAGAGGGCCACCCCTGCGGCCTCTACGGCCACCCCGCAGCGGTGGGTCACGGAGACAATGAGCTCCACCACCATGTGGATGCAGGAGATGCACCAAGGGCTGAGCGACTCCGACAGCAGCTCCCTGAAGGCCAAGGTAAGTTGGGTGCTTGTCTGCCGCCGGCCCCGGCCCTGGTGGTGGTGCTGGTTGCGCCTCCGGGCCTGCTTGTGCCTCCCACCGCCTGACGACAGGGACCCTTTAGGAAGGTAAGAGGAGGAGGATGATGATGTAGCCTGGGTATTCTGCTCGGAGGCTGCCACCCCTCCTCCTCTGTTCCGGGACCGGCCTTTCCTCCCTCCAGCCCCCGAGCTCCTCCAGCCCGACTCCCCCTTCATGCCAGGCTCCCTTCCGACTTCGTTTCGGCCTCCTCCTCTGCCTCCACTCTTGTCTTCATCTCCACCCTCAGTCTCCTCATTTCCTTCTCTCTCCACATGCTCCGCCCCCTCATCCTCTTTGGCCTCTGCAATCCCACAATCCTTTTCTTCTCCTGAGTCCTCCTGATTGACTGGAGTCAGGATATCCTGAGGGGTAGCTTTGAGATAGTCTGTCATGTCCTCTTTGAGAACTGGTTGTTGAGTTTCCTCCTCATCTGCTCTGACTTCCCACTGGTCAGGCATGGAGGTGGAAGACGAGAGGGGAGGAACACCTGAGGGCAGCTCTTCATGGCACTCCACAGTTGCCTCTACAGTCCATGTATCTTCCTCCATCTCAGCCACCTCTTTCTCCATCTTCCACCCTGTCTCTTGATTAAAGTGCCAAAAAAGTATCCAATCTCACGGCAGGTAGGGACCTTGACCCATTCTCACTGACCACACCTTCTCCGACACTACACCTCAGCAGGGCTGAAGAGTCAGATAAGGACGGCTGAATAATACTGGAATGGCAGGCGCCATTGTGCACGGTAGCCTATCCAATGCAGATACTTTGCAGGCATTGGATCAAGGATAAATCGTTACAATCCTTGGGCCCGACTGGCCTCATCTTGTATCTGGTTATTGCCTGTGAAAAGAAAGCAAGTTTAAACATTAGCCGTAACACTTTCCCTTTCATTGCACTAGAACAAGGGTCCTAATCTTAAGGCAAAGCTCACAAAGAAATGGCATTAAATGGGATATGGAGTATCTGCATGTATCATTGTTATTGTCAAAGTAATGGCATGTTATTATCAATTATGTTTTCTAGTGTAGTGTGCCTTGATCAATATTCTCCACCATGTATAGCACGCTGCATGAACACAATATCCACTCAACAAGCTGCTGTACAGCGCCGACATTTTGAAAAGATAAACCAAACTCTTCAGCTATCTGGTTGTCAGTAGTTGCACTAGCTGGACATTTTATTAATTTCTTCAGCCATAAATGACTGGGGCGGAATATCAGAGAACAATGTGGGCAATCTTCGGTTCTATCAAATGAGCTATGTCGCCAACGTCGCGAACAAAATGACCAACTGTCTCGAGACGAATAGCTAGCTAGCTAACAACATTAGTTGCTCGTGTTTAGCTAACTAGCTACAGTAACTAATGTAATTTAAATAATCTTAACGCAGATTATTGAAAATATTATGAGCTATTTTAATGCTTACACTGACTGAAATAACATTGGGAAAGATGACAGCCAGCGAAACTCACTTCTCTTCCGTAAAGGAAGGCAAGATGATACAATGTAGCCTTCCTTTCGAAGTGGCTAACTCGAGCCCTGTAGCTTTGCTCCTCAAATTGACCAAATATGGCAAACAGAAATTCTTGTCGTACAAAGAAAATTGAGTTATTGAATTGTGTATGCAAACTATTCTTATCCTGTATTAGGAGAGTGTGTTCTTTCTCCTTATGCAGATATTATACATTTTTTCTTATCTTGTTCTTGGCTAACGCTGTCCTTGTTGTTTGTCTTACTATTTTTCACTTCCGAGGGCAGCAGACACCCCACATAAACCACTACTGAGACGCCTGAAAGAATAAGCAAGACCTAGCAAGAGTAAGGCCGTGCCGTGACCTCGGCCATTTCCCTTCAAAATAAAAGTCCGCCAATGAAGATCAGTCAGTCGGTCACAATTTACCCATGATACATTACGGTTTTGATGCTCTTTCACGTGGCCATCGAGATCAGCGAGATGCAAGACCTCGCTCTCACACAGTCACACACAGTATCTGCGCATGTGTACGGGTTCGCTTCACGGTGTTACAGCGTGGTAACCAGGGCACCAAAACAGCAGAGAAGTTGAGCATCACGCTATAACGCTCTTAGTTGTTGCGGAAATTGACACCCTGCTGTTTACTTTCTGCATACTTCATATCACTGAGTCTACCTTTAAGAGTAATGCTTACTAAATAGTTATTATGGTAACAACAGTAATACAAATGACATAACGTTATTTATAATCTTACTATTAATAATAATAGTTATAATAACAATAATTATATTATAATAATTATAATAATCAACTTTAGAAAACACATTTAAATCCCATTGTAATTTAGCCCATTCATATTGCACTGAAGACAATATTATGTCATTCATATTGCACTGTACACAATTTCCTGTACATTGTGTCGTAGTAAAAGGGGGACCATTCCACTCAGGAGCACCTTTAGTTTCCAAATCCACAGAGTTTACACCCCCAGCATCAGCTCTGCAAATTTTCCAGCCCTTAAAGAGTGGGAAATCAGCTAAAATGCAGTACGTTTTTTTATATTGGACATACATATTGCACCATACACACATTTCTGTACAATATGTCACAGTAAAAGCGCTCCATTCTACTCCTTCTACACCCCCCCTCCCCCAGTGGTGGTTGTCCCACTGGCTATCCTAAATTGAATGCACCAATTTGTAAGTCCCTCTGGATAAGAGCGTCTGCTAAATTACTTAAATGTAATGTAAATGTACTCAGGAGTAACTCTAGTTTCCAAATCCACAGAGTTTACACCCCCAGCATCGTCACTGCTACTTTAGACTGAAATCCAATCTGTTTTTCATATTGGACAATGAGAGTGATGTCATGCAACTAAGAAGGCTCAACCAATCCCCTACAGATTTTATTAATATTCATGAGTTGCGTCTGGTAGATAGGTTGAGACTTCTTGGTGTGTGACATCACACAGATGCCCTGCAGAGCCGTCTGCTTACTCGCTGGCATGAGCAGTAAGCACGATTTGGGAAACCTAGCTTCAGCTTAATTCATTGGGAATAAATGAAAGCTTCACCAGCTAGCTATCAATCTATTTAAAGTTTCACCGTGCGATCAGTCATAAAATGAGTCCACTAATTGTTATTTGTACCTTTCCACAAACGGTCTGTTGCTTGATATGAGTAAGTTAACCCAAATATATCAAAGAATAGGTCATCCACGATTAGTGGCTACTGCCTGGCCAGTGAGCTAGCTAGCTACATTTCAGTAATTTAGCTATCTTCCTAAATACAGTGGTCAGTGGATAAACTAACTATGAGTTGAACATATTTGTCTGAAAGAGAACTAGTCACCAGTTATTGTTGCCCATGGTGTTGTCATGTCTAACCAGCAGTGGTGGAAAAAGTACTCTATTGTCATACTTGAGTAAAAGTAAAGATACCATAATAGAAAATGACTAAAGTAAAAGTGAAAGTCACCCAGTAAAATACTACTTGAGTAAAATTCTAAAAGTATGTGGTTTTTAATATACTTAAGTATCAAAAGTAAATGTAATTGCTAATATATACTTAAGTATTAAAGGTAAAAGTAAAAGTATAAATCATTTCAAATTCCTTATATAAAGCAAACACAATTGTCTTATAAAAAAAAACATTTACAGATAGCCAGGGGCACACTCCAACACTCAGACATAATTTACAAATTAAGGATCTGTGTTTAGTGATTCCACTGGATCAGAGTCTGTAGGGATGTACTCTTGATAAGTGCACAAATTGGACCCTTTTGATGTCCTGCTAAGCATTAAAATCTAACAAGTACTTTTGGGTGTCAGGGAAAATGTATGTAGTAAAAAGTACATTATTTTCTTTAGGAATGTAGTGAAGTAAAAGTTGTCAAAAATATAAATAGTAAAGTAAAGTACAGATACCCCCCCAAAATACTTGAGTAGTACTTTAAAGTATTTTTACTTAAGTACTTTACACCACTGCTAACCAGTTAGTTATTGTAGTCCTTGTGCCAATGAGCTCCCGAGTCTAGCTAGTGACGTCGTTTGGCGTCCACAATTAGCTAATTGTTAGCTAACTACTTGGCTACTGCATGGCCAGTGTGTGCCCAGTGCAATCCCTCCTCTGCGACAATGTTATTGGGGTGCGGGAATATTAGATACAGTTGAAGTCGGAAGTTTACATACACCTTCGCCAAATACATTTAAACTCAGTTTTTTTTTTACAATTCCTGACATTTAATCCTAGTAAAAATTCCCTGTCTTAGGTCAGTTAGGATCACCACTTTATTTTAAGAATGTGAAATGTCAGAATAATAGTAGAGAATTATTTCTTTCAGCTTTTATTTCTTTCATCACATTCCCAGTGGGTCAGAAGTTTACATACACTCAATTAGTATTTGGTAGCATTGCCTTTAAATTGTTTAACTTGGGTCAAAAGTTTCGGGTAGCCTTCCACAAGCTTCCCACAATAAGTTGGGTGAATTTTGGCCCATTCCTCCTGACAGAGCTGGTGTAACTGACTCAGGTTTGTAGGCCTCCTTGCTCGCACACGCTTTTTCAGTTGTGCCCACAAATGTTCTATAGTATTGAGGTCAGGGCTTTGTGATGGCCACTCCAATACCTTGACTTTGTTGTCCTTAAGCCATTGCCACAACTTTGGAAGTATGCTTGGGGTCATTGTCCATTTGGAAGACCCATTTGCGACCAAGCTTTAACTTCCTGACTGATGTCTTGAGATGTTGCTTCAATATATCCACATAATTTTCCTTCCTTGTGATGCCATCTATTTTGTGAAGTGTACCAGTCCCTCCTGCAGCAAAGCACCCCCACAGCACGATGCTGCCACCCCCGTGCTTCACGGTTGGGATGGTGTTCTTCGGCTTGCAAGCCACCCCCTTTTTCCTCCAAACATAACGATGGTCATTATGGCCAAACAGTTCTATTTTTGTTTCATCAGACCAGAGGACATTTCTCCAAAAAGTAAGATCTTTGTCCCCATGTGCAGTTGCAAACCATAGTCTGTCTTTTTTTATGGCGGTTTTGGAGCAGTGGCTTCTTCCTTGCTGAGCGGCCTTTCAGGTTATGTCGATATAGGACTTGTTTTACTGTGGATATAGATACTTTTGTACCTGTTTCCTCCAGCATATTCACAAGGTCCTTTGCTATTGTTCTGGGATTGATTTGCACTTTTTGCACCAAAGTATGTTCATCTCTAGGAGACAGAATGCGTCTCCTTCCTGAGCGGTATGACGGCTGCGTGGTCCCATGGTGTTTATACTTGCATACTATTGTTTGTACAGATGAACGTGGTACCTTCAGGCGTTTGGAAATTGCTCCCAAGGATGAACCAGACTTGTGGAGGTCTACAATATTTTTTCTGAGGTCATGGCTGATTTCTTTTGATTTTCCCATGATGTCAAGCAAAGAGGCACTGAGTTTGAAGGTAGGCCTTGAAATACATCCACAGGTACACCTCCAATTGACTCAAATGATGTACATTAGCCTTTCAGAAGCTTCTAAAGCCATGACATCATTTTCTGGAATTTTCCAAGCTGTTTAAAGGCACAGTCAACTTAGTGTATGTAAACTTCT